ACTCAAGATCAACACCGCCACCGTGTGTTAATTCCAGACAATATACACGGTGTCTTTCAAACAACTATTTTATATGGGCTTTAAAGCGCGCATTTATAAATGGTCTAACGTTGTTATTACTACAGAAGCTAAAAAGTTTCTGAAATAACAATTATTATTATGTAAGAAAATAATCAAAGAATATGTATACACGCTTTATATATCGTCGTCTCTCACTTCTCGTGAGAAGTGTACACGAAAGTATAAGAAGCGATTAGGTCTAGTGATGTGTGATCGCTGTTGTCGATAATATATCGACTCTTCAAAATTATTTTTGATTTCCGATCATTTAATATTATATCATCATGCGCTGTATTTGCTGGAATAAACGACGGAAGCTCAGTTGGAATGAAGGGCATGGGCCTTTTCTATGTGAAAAGAAGCGAAGCGTCAAGTGGGCATATGGGCAGGCGAGGATGAGGTCGGCTACACTAGACAGTACGAGAGAGTATAAAAAGTGGCGACAGACTATCAGTGGACCCGAGAGTCGGCGCCGGGTTGGCCGATGTACGATCGCAGTCTAAGTCAGAGAGTCGGCATATCTGCCTACATGAAAAACATTTAGATACATTTAAATAATTGCAAAGCATACCCTGTATCCTAGAATCACTTTTATGGGCGTTTGTTTTTTTATACATTCAGAGAGGACTCGTTATTCTATTACAAACGTGCGCGTCTCCGCAATATATCTTTAGGGAATTTTAATTTTAATCAGTATAAAGATATAAGTACACAATATTATTAAACCGCCCAGTGCCACCTCGCGGCGGCACGGGCGCATTACTTCTACATTACCCACGAGGTGATATTATCGATAATCGATATACTAAGTATACGTGTTCCGGTTTGGCATCGATTTATCTGTAACCTAAAGCGCGCGGCGCTGCACTCCGCTATCCAACCTCTACAGTCGCGAGCCACGCCATTACATTTAAATTTATTTAGCTACGAATTAGGGACGACGATTTGTAAGCGAACCTACCGGTGCAGCCGTCACTGCGCCACGACACGATTCAAGCACGAATCACGGAATTTCGGACGCCTAGACTTTATAGTCAAGGATTCTACAACGTAGCAATAAGGATGCTTTGGTTAGCTTCGCCGATATCTACTGTGTTTAGCTTCGCTGTAGGTACCCAATATGGGGTATATTGGGTATACCCCATATTGGGTTTAATAGTTTTGGCCTTTAATAGTATAAAGGCTAAAATAATGAAATTTGCCCAAGAACACTTTTCCATAGTAAAGTAGTTAAAGCATTAATTTTTAAGCCGAAACTGAGATAAGTTGGTTTTCATTAATTTTCGATTTTGCGAAGACGTCATCGGTTCCCATGATAGATCCCGTTGATAAACGTCACGTCAACTTAGTCACGTGGTATCAAATTTTTTTAGTGGGCTTTGAATTAGCCCACTAAAAAAATTTGATTAGGCTTCAGAGATAAAATTATGATTACGAAGAAGAAATATTAATTCGTCTGTCCAAACAATTATTAAGGACGCAGGTATTTAATTAATTTTTAATTGAGATTCTTTTGACATCTTTATTAATGTAAAATGGAGGTCTAACGCGTTCATACCTCTGAGACCTTCTCTAAGGTTGCCAACACTTTAAAATTATTATCTAACTTAATTCAGCAATCTGCTGAATCTTTATTACCAAATGTATATTTAGTAATCAGGCTTAAAAATGTATACACCTACTGTAACTTTAATTTTTTTAAATTTCACGTTGGTTGCATTAGGTATAGGTATATAATATATTTGGCTTTAAAAATTCAAAGTTTTTATGCCAATTTTTTTGAATATCAACATATTGCGTATTCTCAGCAGACGGCTTATCAATGTAAGAGCTTTAATTTGTAAAGATGAATTCGCACGGTAAAGTCGTGGTCGCAGTGAGAGCGGACCCGGCGCGGTCGCCCGACACAAGGCGGCCGGCCCCAGTCGGCTTATAAGACCACGTCGACTAACAAACCTAACGATACACACCAAATCAATCAACACTAAAACATATACAAAGAAGCGTAACAACGTATTAAAATATTGCACATTTTTTTTAAATACAGAAGAAAATTATAACTTTAATTTTATTTAAAAAACAAAAAAAACAACGCGACATTTTTTCAATTTATGTCGCACCACGCGGCTTATTAATAAATCATAATAGCCTTAAACTAGAATACTATACGATAATATAATAATTTGTGTAAATATAAAATTCTATGTCTTGTGGTGAGTGTAATATTTGACTAGAGGCGGGCGACGCGGCCGCCGAGACGCACGCGGGCAGCCCTAGCCGCGCAGGGTTGCCTCCGCGACGCTACTCAATATTCAAACCGTACTCAGACACGACAAATAAAGGAGAGTGCCCGATATCGTCCCAAGTGTAGTAACACGTTAGGCCCTATCGAAAATGAAAGGTCTTCTAAAATATATATTTAACATTAATTATTCGTATTATTAATATTATTTGTATGGCAGTAATTTTCTATCTCATGCAAGTAAAAAGATATGAACGAAGCTAAACGACAAAGTACCTATTAAAAATGTTTTTAACTAGATAGGTAATAAAATCGGCAATTAGTTCTTTGTATAGTCACAAAATTTCTTGCACAAAATATAAACAAGATACCTTTGAGATATGATTAAAGACAATTAATATAACATGTCTGTACTAGTTATAACTTGTTACAAGCTTGGGACGGCACTTGTTGTAAAATGGGCATTCTCCTTTAATGTTATCTAAAGTCACACACTGTCTTATTCTAATTTCATCGCAAAGAAAGAGACAGCACTGACTTTCTTGGTGAGGCCGTAAATATTAATGCCGCATCGACTAATCTACGGCTGCGTTCAAGTAAAACAAGTTATTAGTACACACCGTTCGGTTTGCCTAAAAGCGGTACTTATACTTTGACCAGATTCCACACTCTTGTTTATGGTTAAAAATAATCCTAATCCAGATGACCAGAATTGTCCATCGACTTTTAAACTAAAATGATTTCTATATTCCATACTTTGAATTCAGCGGTAATCTTATGTGTTAACAATAGATGTTCAACTTTCACTTCCCGTTCGGTCATCCGGTTAGGCGTGTAGCTTGTTTTAGTAAGTTTACAAAACACCCCAATACAACAGAGACTTAAATATTAATTTATATTCCTATTAATCTCATTTTCGAGTTACATTATCATGAAGGGTGTTCAGATTACTAAAACAGCGAGTTATAATAAATGGGCGTATTGTGAGGTGGCAGCCCTAGCAGCGGCCCTTGGCCCGCGCGCACGCAATATATTCTAAGGTATCTCAGTATCATTTTATATTTATATTGGTACTTTTTTGATTATGAATCTATTTTTGTCTGTATAGAAATTACACTAGTTTTGTAATCTGTTGGTTCGCGTCTCACCCGCTGTTGTCTCCCTGGCGCAGTCACATTATTGTATTTAACACCTTAACACGAATAGTTTATATATGTATATGTTATAGACACACACACCAATGTACGAAATTAATAAGGGGAAGCGCGCTCTTTGAGAATTGACTTCGCGTATTGCGAGCGTTGCGTCGCTCGCACGCAGTTACAAAGGGCACAGTACACATTACTAATATATTTAATTTACACACGCAGTCGTTTTGAACAACCTATTGTTTGATACGATTCCTGTGCAATTCCACCGCGAATTTGTGATATCGCCTGAAGTTTATTGACTATGTATAAAAATAAATTATAATTCCTTTTTTAGAGCAAACTTCAGTAAATATAACAAACGACGGTTTTTCATTTAACAACTTTCGACGAGCCGAAACAGTGGCAGTTTTTGTGCGTTAATGGTAAAAATGTGGGGTAAAACAGTCATCTTTTACAATGATTCTTTGTGCGTGACGCGTGCGAGCGACATATATAGAGCGTTTCACATATAATGCAATAGATAGACGAACGGCCTGTACAGTCCATTATGTTGATATTATACTTTTTTTTATATCACAGCCCATTTGGAATTTACAACACATAATAACACGATCTTTCGAAACGAAGGCCTAAGTATTCGGTCTCATGTTGAAGTGCACTTTGATTTGTACACAGCGTTAAATACAACATTTATTTTTGTCACTAACATGTTTGTGGGTGCCGAGCCACCGGGGCCGTCTGCGCCGCGATACCAAGCTCTCTGTGTACACACACCTTTATCGGAGTCATATACGTACAGTGAACGGACTGAGCATTCCTTAGCCAGCTGTGAGATAAATTCGAATGTGAACCACTTTCCTCAAATAGCTTTCCCTCTTTCTCGAAAATGATCAATTTCATGCAGGTCTTGCTCAGTTCATCCTCTTAGTCTATGATCGGAGCGCGCTCGTTCGAGTGAGACGGAAGACCTAATAGACTCATTGCAACTAATAAATAAGTAAAATTTTGCCTAAACATCTAAGCGAGTGAGAGAAGCCACGAGTTCGCGTCTCATTCGAACAATGTACGGAGAGCGCTGTATCGTGGGCAGGCTCGGCTTCATCGCAACGGTGGCGCGGCTACATTAGCTTACCAGACACACACGTAATAAATTTAACAAAATATAGGACATATATACTCCATTAGTGATCTATACCGAATATTAGGTTAGCGCGGGAGGCAACAGCGGCGCGCGGCCGAGCCGCGACTGCGACCGATGCAATATACAATCATTAAAATACATTTTTTTCTTACATTTTCAACTTACTTAATAAATTCAGTTTGGCTTAGTTAAGCAAATAACTAGTATAATAAATTTGTTAAAGTTTCAGTTAAACGTTAAGTACTTAGAAGTAGAAGTATGATTACGAATGACAAAATTTTTTATAACGTGTCATTTTTTTTATAATAATAATAATAATTTATAATCAAAGTTAATAAATTGTATATAATAATATAATAGAGTAATTTAATGATTAATCGATAATGATAAGAATGAAGCATTCCTACGCGCTGATTTAATAAATTACTTTTAACTAATTTAGTATACTCGCCGAGTGGGCTCGCATAATTGTTTAGGTAAGTATGTAGGTAATGATATTCACTATACAATAAACGTGTATTAAATTCCTTGGAATTGTTGATAATACGCGATCATGCGCACCGTGGGCGCGGGGAACACACCAGCCGCCACCTGCAACAAACACGGGGCTTAAAAACATGATTACGATTACCATCGTATATACAGTGCGACATCGTATATAGAGTGAGATGCACTCCACACTGCTGAAGACCGCAACAAGTGGAAAGCCATCGTCCACAAAATAATTCGTGGAGGTCACGACCCTCAGGAATGAGGAGCACAACCACTGCCGGATTTAGGGCAGGGCAACCGGGGCGAAAGCCCCGGGGCCTCCACACACGGGGGGCCCCCACAATAGAGACTTCGGAAAAAAAATCTTTCAAATTCCAACTAGTAAACATCTTTTCGGTTCCGTTCGTTAACTCTAAGATTTAATTTCAAATAATTCTTGTTTCCGTTTGTATTTATATGTGTTTGTTCAATACTAAGGGAATCTACTTGGTTCACAATAAATTATTTATTGAAAGACTCGACTGAAAAAAAATTGTTTACTTTATTTGGAAAATAATTTGGGCCCTCACCCCAAATTACTTTCCATCCCAAATTGTTGGCCTCCGCTCCTCTGTTGCCCTGAGGCCTCTGGACCTCTAAATCCGGCCCTGAGCACAACACAAGGAGGAGGATACAGTGCGACAAGGACCTTCATGATATGTGAGTGCCAGTTCAGGGAGGGCGCCACTGTCTACGTGAATCACCGGAAATGACATACAAAATAAGACGTTTACAAAGACGGCAGCGTTAGTTCCAGTTTTCGCCACATTCATAAAGTTACAAATAAACATTAGTAAACATTCTATGTGGTACGACACGGATCTTTATCATTGTCGCACTATACATAGAAAACGTTATAACTTGAAAGTAATTATTATGACCACAGACCATAAAAAAGGTTGGAAGGGTAAACATGCACCGTTTGTATGGGAAGCGATGTCACAAGTTCGCCCCCAATACACTTGCACCTAATAAAATATAAGCCAATCAAACGACGCGACTTCAAACAAACGAATGAATCGGCGGTCAGTTAGACATTTACACTAGTGATGTAGAATGAATTGTTATCGATATTAAATATGGGCACATTTTCCGTGTTCTATAATAAGAACACTGAAATGGTTAGGGTATTAGATGTGTTTCCGACTTTGTCGTAGCCATTCTTGGATGTCTTAGACTCTGGTTTGACTACTCAAAGTAAATAACATGCTTTTCCACATGGCCCGTAAAACTAAACATCCCCTAAAGTCCCCTAGATTCAGCGTGACCTTAAAAAAGCAATAGGGGGTTTAAGACCTTAGAAAAATGTACTCCTAGCACTCTTAGGCCCGTATTATAGAAAGATTCTCAGTGATTGATCTAGTCTTGAGCATAGTTAGAAAGGGATGTCGCTATATATAGCACATAGCGACATCCCTTTCTAACTGTACTCAAGTAAAGATCAACACTTAGTTGTCATTCTGTAATACGGGCCTTAGTATCGTGAAATGTTATTTCAATAGAAAAAGGCTAGACATGAATACATTTGAAAATTCCTTAAAACATTCGCCTTAGGGAATAAACCTTCCAAAATTCACAGCTTACTTAACTTCCACCTAATTTTCGGGAAAAACTACTAAGTTAGCAACATTGGACTACAAATCTTATCCCTAAAATTCGGGAAAAAGCTACTAAGTTGGTAACACTATGCTACCACTCCCCACGAGGTATTTAGCAACACCCACCATGGTCACGTAATGAACGCGCAGGGACGGCGTCTAGGGTTAGTAAGGCCGGTTGGCGTCCTTGGGCCGCTTCAGCTGAACCTTGAGCCGCTTCATGCCGATCTGGAAGCCGTTCATCGCCTGGATGGCCGCCTGGGCCGACGTCGGGTTGTCGAAAGACACGAATCCTGGAATAAAACACCGTCATTTGTTATTTAAAAAACATTTGATCCCTTTGCTACGAACAAACTTTTGGGCACTGATACCTGCGACCAGGGCTGGATTTAGAGGTGTAAGGTTCATTACGAGGATGTATTTCATTTACGATTTGCCCTTTTTACATATTTGCTTGACCCGTTGAAAATTGGCTTAAATCCGGCCCTGCTTGCGACACAGTCTGAGTATAAAGCGGGTATCGGAATTTTTGGCGGGATCGGAAAGCGTCACTATAGCAGTTTTGTTTTTCTTGTTAAAAATTGTGTTGTGGCGGATGTTAGTGTCTGATAATGGTGGATTATTAACCACTAAGTGTTCGGGAACATGCACAAGTGTTGGCAAGTGAAACAAAATAGCCGAAAGTGTCTTTCGACGTTCCCTCAAGAAGTCCACGGGGAGGTTCCCGTAAATCTCCACACATTTACTGAAATATAGGGAAAGGGGGATTGACTTGACTTGATTTATTACTTTGACCACGAGTGCTATAGAATTTGTAAACATTTTAATAGTTATAATTTTTATTATTTTTAAAGCATGTAACTGCTTGATGTTTAAATCTAAAGAAAATATAACTAGAAAAAATTCCACGCGGACCAGGCAGCAGACGGGACTCGAACCGCACCCTTCGCAATCCGGGCGAATGCACTGACCAATTATGCTACCGCGGCCCTCATGGACCGCGTCGAAATTCTTTCTAGCTATTCTTAAGCTGCAGGGCAGCGCCATCTCTTCGCATTATAGGTAAACCCACATTTTAATACTTGACAATGGCTAAATGCACAAGCCCTGCGAAGCCATTTAGGAAAAAAAGCGGGTATCAACGAACCTATAATCCACACATCAAAATGTGTGCTTTATTAATTTGAGGTTAGAATAAACTTTTTTCTGTTCTCGAAAATATAATTGGTTGATTTAAAAAAAAATACTTTTCTATTTAAATTAATAAATTACAATATTAGAATCATAATTTTTATTATTTTTAAAGCATGTAACTGCTTGATGTTTAAATCTAAAGAAAATTAGAATATTATTATTAATATTAGATTAGAATATTAGAATCGTTCAAAAGTTCAAAACCTAACAATATGTTGTTTTGACTTTTTTGATGAGTAAAGCTCGAGCATAATATTGTTAATGTTCTAAATAAATGTTGCCTTAATTAATATTTGGGTTTGTTATCGTAATGCTAGTTTTTAGCGTACTTACAAAGACTACAAGCCAGCCAGGGGCGTATTTTAAAATCTGACGCCCCGGACTATTTACGACTTGCAGGGTGCAAGTCCCCCCACTGCAATTAGTAAATTTCATCAATTTATAGGCTGACCTATAAATTGATAATAAATGCCTTTATATGCTTTTGCCGCCCCTCACAGCCTGCCGCCCTGAGCCATGGGCCTTGAAACCCTAGGGCAAATACACCTAAAGCCAGCTGTTTCATTAGGACTGCATGCTAACTGCAATTTGAATGCTTCATTTATTATTTTTTAACAGCTAAAGGATGTCTTAATAGGAAACAATATCGGACGATTTAAAAGAGTTTTCAATAAGCCAATTGATTCATTTCATTTGAATACGTCATCGGTTTTCAGTGAAGCTTTCAGTTAACTGTACAAAGACTGGATTCAAACTGTAAAGCAACTCTAATGTATGACATTTAAAAGAAATATAAATCTAAGGAAAATCCAGGTAGCAGACGGGCCACAAACCCGCACCCTCCAGCTAAGAGATGGCGCTGCCTTGCAGCCTAAGAAATACTAGAGGAATTCGACACGGTCATTAAGGTCGTGGTGGTATAATTGCAAGTGCATCCACCCGGATAACGGAGGGTTGCGGTCGAGTCCCATCTGCAGCTTAAAATAACGATACAAAAAAAAAAGAATATTAATCTTTACAATCAGCTTACCGAAACATTTGCTCTGATTGGTGGCGCGGTCTATAAACACTTTGCTGCTGATGACATTCCCGAAGGGCATGAACATCTGCATCAGCTCCGCGTCGCCGAACTCCTGCGGCAGGTGGTAGATGAACAGGTTACAGCCCTCGGGGCCGGAGATCGAGCAGCCTGGGAACATCAGGAAATCTTTAAAGAACTCACAAATCTGCTCTCAGACACAAACGTTCGGTTCTATGTTAAAGGTTTTAATGTGTTTAAGAGAGTTACACCTGTTTACGAAGGACTGATAGGCAACGAAATATTAACCGAAGCAAAGAAGAATGTTTCAAAATAGAACTGAGGCTCAAAACACGAGTTCTTGACTGCTCCTTAACGTATCGCATACTAAGCAGCGTGTAAGAACAAAAATTGTTTTTTCCATACAAGATTTTACGGTTATGTTACTTTACGGAGCTGTCAAAAACTCGTGCTTTGGCCTCTGACAAACTGAAATAAAAGTCGTTATAATTTAGTAGAGGCAGGCGGAAATCTCCTAAACTCTCACTTAAGTTTGTAAAACAAAAACAGCAGTTGCTCAAACATACACACATCGAACAGTACAGCGACAGACAGACGATAGTAAGCAGCTAAGAGTATGCTGAAACATGGAAAGTGTTAGTAATAAACATAGTATTATGTTTGTCACTGACTGTAAAACACCTTTATCACAATATCAAATAACATAAACTACGAGATATATTAGAATGCATATTTTGATAACAAGGCGACCGTTTTCTAGCGTTTTGTAGCTGGAAAACTGGAGTATAGGCAGACAATTTTAGTATGAGGAGACAACATGCTGACTACACAGGCGCAGAATTAAAGCGTGTGTTGATCGTTAAGAGTTATCGTGTGTTAGCTGAGTGTCGGCGGACTTATTAACTTATAGTTCATTAATGATTTATTATGAATCACGCTTCCAGTAGGGATACCACTCTATCTGATTTATCGGGATAAATCTTAACCCTAGGTGTTTTTTTCTGAATAATTACTTTAAATTAAATTTGAACATTCTTGATTAAAAACTACGGCCTTAGGTAATGATTTGCAAGGATTTTGCAGTCATTTAATACATGTATATTTTTTAATATGGTTCATCTAGGCATACTAAGCCCAAAAACTATGAGCATGAGCTTTGAATTCACTTTTGTAATAAGTCAGCCGAGCGTGCCGACTCAGGGCTCCACTTACCTTCTCTTTGCGCGGGCGCAATGGTCGACATCGGTGGAGGGATGGGCTGTGGGAACTGCCCGTAAACCGCTGGGTAAGCTGTCGAACATTAATACGCACATATTTCACAATGAACACCTATTCTTTGCGTACGTGACATGCATACGTTTAAACATTTATCAGAAAGCTGTTACATAATAATGTATGCGATTAAATAGTCTCGCTCGCATTGATCTGCGAAACGAAACTTTCACACTAATGAACAAAACAATAGGTATTTATTTATATATACGTATAAACTCTGGGTAACATTGATAAAACAATAATCAATCATTCGTGTACATCGACAAGTCCGTTACGATAAATATATGAATAATAAATTAAATTACGATCATCATAATATTTTTACATGAACAATAATATTTAACTATTACAGATAGACATCGAACACTAAACTACCTTGTGACTTAACACAATATTTCAACAGCGTGAGGTACACAGCGCATGATACCCTAATTAATACGACACATTAATGTTATCAGTACTTCGTCACTCGATTGATATTTCCCAATACATGAGTAGGTAGTATTTTGCTGCGCTACTGTCTTTATCAATCGACTGACAAAACAATTGACACCTCAATAATTCTTTTTGCACATCAATTTGAATCATATGACATCAAAGTAGGTATAATTGTAACGTACGACTATACAACGTGAAAGTTGTACCAATACTTGTGGTTATTCTTTTTGTTCTTAGTTCTACAGAATGGAAAAGCAAAAGTTATATGTTTTTCACAAATATTGGACACATTGGTGGATGTGATTTATGATCAACCAAAGAGAACCAAGAAAACTCCTTTAGATGGATGGAAACCTGTAAGTTGTAACCTTTAATAAAATTATTGTGAATGGTATGAAATTGTAATTTTGTAATTTAAAAAAATGATTAGTATGTTATATGCAAATAAACTTTAATTTATTTCGTCCTCGAATTTTTTATTGTTAATATAGGTATAATTTTTCCGATATTAACATAGGAGTTTTTGTTAACATAGGTGTAATTTTTCCGATATTAACATAGGAGTTTTTGTTACCATAATAGGAGGTGAAATTTTTCCGATATTAACATAGGATTTTTTGTTAATATGGGTGTACTTTTCCGATATTAACATAAGTTTTCGCTAACATAGGACGTGTAATTTTTCCGATATTAACATAGGGGTTTTTCAGCATCGGTGTAACTTTTCCGATTTAAATGTGCACCGATTACGTAAACATATCTGATTTGAGTGTTTTTTTTTGATCGGTTGCCGTTTAGTTACATAAAAAACATATTTGATTTGACCCAGTAGTTTTAATTTTATGAACACGTTTACTTAGAGACGATTGAATTATTACGGCTCTTTTAATTAGCGGTTTAAATGAAAATTATTTTTAAACAAAAAATAAAAACCGACTTTATAATGGAAAATGGATCTAAAAAGTAAAAAATTCACACAAAATCGTGTGGGTGGGTCCTAGTATGATCTGGAAGTCTGGCGGGCCCAAGATTGAAACATTAAATAGATTTCTAAAATTGGTATACGTGTTTTAATCTATTGACCCACCCAATTTCCAAATCATGCTAGGACCCGCCCGTTTTCATGTGAACCGGATATGATTTTTTGATAAGTTTAGTCAACAGCAATACCAATTTAGTAGGTTTTTTTCCCACTATGACATGACACTAAGCTTGTTTTGTTTTCGGTTCACTAAAATAAAAAAAATAAAGCCAATAAAATAAACACAATTTTAAACAAAAGGTTTTTTATTTTATTAAAAAAATTTTGGATTTACGTATTTTGTATTTTATTATATATATAAAATGAAAACTAGTTTTGTATTGAAAATAAAAAAATATAAAAGTATTTAAATACATTTTATAATGTATTTTGCACATCTCTGAACAAATGCAATAAGTTAAAGTTAATGTGTTTGCGCCTAGGTAAATTTGACGAAAAACTATGATACTGATAACGAGTTCAATACAGGTACAGGAGTTTTCTTGGTGTTGGCCTCGAAGCATGATCGTGTCAGCGGTGAATCGAAATCCGATACACTATTCTGCGAAAGCATGTTTTGCCTTTTAATTTATTAGACACGATTTTTTAACTAGTTCCTTATACGTGTATTTCTATATCAGAATCTATATAGATAGTTATGACAAATATATTATGTACACCATAAAGGTCTAGCGCACCTGAACCACCCGGCACCGGACAAGCACCGCCTCGGCGCGAGGCGTTCATACGTGGATGTCTTTTTTTTAGTGTGTATGCTGTTGGTCGCAGATGACCTTTACAGCGTCACCGGTTTTGGGGACAGCGCGGGCTGTCAACCAGCTTATGTCAGGTGGGACCCGTGTGAACACCCCGCCTGCCATACGAGCGAACGAGACAGCGCGTAGGTACGACAAGTTTCTCGCGTGCGAGCTAGGCAAGGTGGTGACTGTACGAAGTTGGATGAGCACAGACGCATAAAAATTCACACAAAGAATATCAACCGCGCGCGCCGAGGCGGTGCTGATCGGGTGACGGGTGATCCGGGTGATACAGGTGCTCTCTGACCTTTATTTTCAACAGATTGCACCAAATTGGATAATCCTTTTATGTCGTGTTTATTATTTTCAGGACAAAGTTAGTATATAAGAAAAAAATGGTTTTGTAAACCTTATAATAATAAAATTATGAAAAGTATTTCACTGAGACCTTCAATATAATGATGAAACATCGACACCAGTCTTTCAGGAATTTCGGAAATATTCACGAAAAAAAAAAATCTACGGCTGTAGGAAGTTCGCTAGGTCAGCTAGTTTTTACATAATTCTTAAACTTTAAATAAAAATTCACCTACAACCAAAGTTGGGTTAAATCTAGCTAGGTCTGTTACATTCGTTTATATTTGATTGAAACATGGTTAAAATTATGAGATAACAGTGGCCTTTTAATGTCCCCACTGCTGGGGTACAGGTCTTCCCTATACACGACATAGGACATGGGCTACCCACCACAAAGCGCCCCGTGCCCAGCGGATTGATAAGTTATTTATGGAGTATATTCAGCTAAACATGCTTTCAGAGAACAGTTCGGATTCCGATCGTGAGCCGTGTAGGTGCGTTTAAGTAAAAGTGGTAAGATAGACAGGCAGTTGGGCGGTACTCACCGACTCCGGGGAAGGGCTGCATGCCGGGGTACGCGGCGTGCTGCAGCGCCGCCTCGCCGTTGGGCAGCCCCTGCGCCGTCACCGGCACCGCTGGAACAAGTATATTCTTCAAGTGACAACGGAGTCTATGAGCACTGATGATTGTAGAAGCAGCTTACCACACTGCTTGTTTACGCTTCTTCAGACAATCTTACAGCCAGTTTTAATAATCAATTTTCGGAAAGATATACGCCTTTAGAGACTTACTTCAGGTCTGCCATGATATATTAGCTCAACTGTTTAATAGGCTATTTGACAAGTTTATGACACGTTCATACGTTATTTATAAGTTTATAGTGCCTCCATAAAAAGTGGATATTTATAATTCTGTTGCAGTCAACAGTAAAAAAAGCAGTTTTTAAATATGCCGCGAGAACGTTTCTCTAACCAATATGGCATCTTACAGGCAAATGACGTCACACGGCTGTCATTGAAACGTCAAACAGTACAAAGTAATGTCACTTCGACTACATGTTTACAAGCAGGAAATGTCATTTAAGCAGGAAACGGCATTTTAAGTCACGTGACAATAAATCAAAAATACTTTTCTATTTCATGTCAGAATAGCAAAATCGCTCCCAATATTAATGTTAAATACACAAGGCAATAATTGGTACTTTATTTTTTAAACTGTCAGATAGCCTCAGAACAAAGCGTCATTATTTTCAGGCACATGTCATGTTGTTTATGTATACATGGTGCCTATGAGCACAGGCGTCTTCATAGACACAGAGCTTGAATATTGTGCTACGAGCTGATGAGTTGCCTGATAGTAAGCCGCTATTATAGAACTTTGTAGATTGGGAGTATTTCTCTCGAAAACGATGTCTACGAGGATAGGCTTCTAGAAAGACACAGAGAATGGCTTAAATGTTGTGCTGCGAGCGTATGAGTTGCTTGATGGTAAGCGACTGATTTTAGATACTCCTTTGATTACTGAGTATCTCGTACATTGCCTACCCTTACCCATATCCCATTTCTTCACTTCATGCGATAAGAAAATTTCATTTTGTAACACCTTTACTCCGAGGATTTTGAGCATACAATGCATTCATATCCTTGTCTTAGCTATGAACAAAATCACATTGGCAGTTCCAGTCGTATAAATAACCCATCAATCAAGCTCAGTGCAAGTTCATGGGTTCTTACGACAGCAGATACATTTGCAGTTGTTGTAAGGTGGCTTACGAAGCTCAGACGATTACAAGCTGGCGATTTGTTTGTTATATCATACTTAAGATCGGACTTTGCGATGACGGACCGGATACGGTATTTCGTGATAGAGATTTCTTCGAAACAATGATAAAGTACTCACGTCCAGTAAACGTCTGATGTATTCCGTTGGTGTAGACGGCATCCTGCGGCGGCGGCTGCCCGTTGGCGGTCTGCGCGGCCATGTTGAAGCCCGGCATGGTGGGGGACGGCAGCGAAGGCAGCGCTCCGTTCAGAGGCTGCGCCCCACCAGTGCCTATCGCGAGGCCGGTGAAATTGTCTGCGGACAAATCATTTTTTATTTATTTATTATACTTGGCTCTTTCTTATATTGCCTACCTATAGATTCGGTAGGTATAGGCTATTCAATCCGTCAGTTAGATTATCCAAAAATAATGGACGCTTAATTTTTCTTTTGTCAATCAACCAAAAAATTACAAAGATAAAGCGCGTAAAAGTTTGGGAGTGCTCTTCACGTCACTTTTAAGTGAAAATTGTACCGCGTGACGTCATGTGACCTTTCAAATCATGGATATGTATGTCTTTGTAATGTTTTGAATATGTGAAAACTGCAAAAATATGTGTCTTACTACTTTTTCACAATCTACCTGATAATATATCTATCTCCTATCGTCTTCATGCCTATTGTAAAGATTAGGTAGCGCTTATGTCTTAGGCAAGTTCTTAAACTAAGGTTACTAATTTATATCATTTTTCAATGTTGTTGTTATTGACGTCAAGTGTGTTGCGTCCTAATTCTAGGTACCCCTTATAGGTCAACCTTTCGATTCTTGAGAGGGCGTATCATGGATGCATTCTAATAAAGACCGTCGTATTTTTTAAGTGTGCATGCATCAATTCAATTCAATTCATTTATTGCAGACCATAATGGAGATACAAAGGTGGTAATATTAACAGATATTACCACCTGATTTTTTCTGATATGACATTTGCTCACGCGTAATGATGGTATATAACATACATTTCTATATCCAATCATGGTTTAATCTATATTGTGTGAGGTATGCTATATAAAACTTGTTTGAGACAACTTCCAATCAAAATCCTTCTTCAGTCGATTCCTAAACTCAATGGCGTCATAAGCACCTTAAATAAGTTTTTATTCCTATGGGTATAGGTAATGCTACAAAGACATGCTTTCTCCTCGGGCCGTTAGCAGTCTGTGGCAGCATAAGGGCCGAGTAAAGATTTATGACGAAAATGGAGGGTATATTTTTATTTCAGATGGCAGTCGTAAAATATCCACACTAGGTTTGCCAACTCGTAAATTTATGTATAAAGGACGGTTCACTACTTTAATGTAATGGAATATAATACATAGCTAGGTACTATATTCAAGACAATAATGAGGTAAAAATGTAAGAAGTGACCACGAAGACTATATAAATAGAATATTACGACCACTTGAAAGATGATAAATAAATAAGTAATAATAAATAAATATTTTCAACACTCACACAAATTAGCCTAGCCCCAAAGTAAGTACTGTAAGGCTTGTGTTACGGGATACTAGGGTAACGGATAGAATACATATACAGTACATATATAAGTATATTTATATAGAAATACATATTAAACATCCATGACTGGAGTACAAATGCTCGTATTCATCACACAAACATCTGCCCCCACCGGGATTTTAACCCGGGACCTCTCGTCAGCGACACCATGAAACCCGGCGTTCAAACCACTCTGCCACGGAGGTCGTCAATCGATCGGAGGTTCATAGGTGAAGAAAATAATGTTTGGCGAGTGGTTGGTGGCGAGTGGGTAATTGCAGCGCTCCGCCCTAACCACAGAACACAGATAGAGGTTAGAAGGGCCTTGTGGGTGGGGCAGGCGCGCCTCAGTCATGTGAGAGCAAATGCTCATAACTTGACCAAAACTTGGTTCTGATTGCGTCGTTGCTCTCGGGTGTGAGCGCTGAATAGTTCGATTATTTGATGTCGCGTCCTTTGATTGGATAATCTATTAGGTGGAAGTGTAGTAGAGGCGAGCCGGCGACATCGGTTCCCGTACAAACGGTCTATGAACGCCCTTCTAACCAATCACATCTATCGCCCACCTAGCATTTTAAATTAAAACAGTCCGTAGACAAAAGTTATTACCTTTGCAGTTTTTAAGCTGATTTATTAACCATCTTCTATATATATAAAACTCAAAGGTGACTGACTGACTGACATAGTGATCTATCAACGCACAGCCCAAACCACTGGACGGATCGGGCTGAAATTTGGCATGCAGGTAGATGTTAAGACGTAGGCATCTGCTAAGAAAGGATTTTAATCAATTCTACCCCCAAGAGGATAAAATAGGGAATGAAAGTTTGTATGAAACTTTGTCAATTTTAAACCGATCGGGCTGAGACTTTGCATGCAGGTAATAAGAAGAATCATAGATGAAACTGTAAACTGTAGTGTACACTTCAGCTCTACACCGAAGCGAAGCACGGGCGGGCCGCTAGTTATATATATATATCATTTATTGTTGAATAAACATATATTTTTGCTACAGACCGTTGAAACATATAAAACACTAAATGGGACGACAGACGTGTCTGAAGTATATCTATTTATATTGATGTGTTTGGTAAACAACGTATCAAGCATAAACGTAGCCTAAATGTATCAATGTTAATAGGTCTATTATAAATGTTAAATTATATGCTTGACCAAAACAGATGTTGTATAAAAACACGCCATACCTACACACCATGTATATATTTCTTCTTTTCATAAATGGCTTGGCCGACTTCGATGAAATTTTATGTATGCATTTAAGAGGGGAGGCGGGCAGTTGTTTTGCCATACAAAAGTTCTCGACTGTTTCCTCTTTGATTTTTATCACTAAAGAGTTGATTTTCATACATAAAATATATTTTAATTATTCTATGCTCCTATGTCTTTCTTTTTTCGATAACTTGTGTTTCAAAGAAAATGGAAGCCCTCGAAAAAGGCCAAAAATATTTTTTTTATTACCAATAACGACGTTATTATTATTTGTGTAAATTTTCTTTAACATATAACTTATTTTCGAGGAGGAAATCGTCGAGAGCCAAACCTCGAATTTTGCAATTTTTTATACTCAATTTTCAACGTTAACTGTATCACACGGTATTTGCCAATGCGTGACAGCCATAGTTTTTCCTGCCCCCTGCCCATGAATGGCTTGAACAAATTTTGTTTGGTCCACTTCCATGGTATAGTTAAGCTGCTTTGTCTCGTCTTGGTAATGGAATAATTGGTGGACCATGTTTTGCGGCAATAAAACAAGGAAAGTAAAAACATACAAGATAAATAAAGAGCCATTGCTGAAACAATAAATACGCTCAGCTGCACAAATCAATGTCTGATAAACATACCTATATCTATCTCGATTTGTTATTGGCAATAATATGACCTTTCCGAACGTAGTCGAGTAAAGCTTTTGAATAAAACCTCCATGCGTGTACAAAATTAAATTAGGGATTACAATAACAGCGCCCTCTTGTTTTGAAAGGACCCTTGAGTGGCAACTTTTATTTTTGTTACGCGTAGGTGAACGAGATTCTGTTCAGATTTGGAGAACCCTCCCGAGTTGTGTGCAAACTGCTGCGCAACGTCAACATTGTAGATGAGTTAAAACACAACATATATACAAATTGGCAAATTTCTATTGGAAGAAGAGTTATCTTTTTTAAATTGAATTTTCGGTTTATTTTTTGAGCATTATCAAATTTCATGATATATTTTTGGTTCACAGACGCTTGAAAATTTAATTACATTGTGGGTAACCTGTAAAGCGAAGAGATGTGAAAAGAAATACTAGAAAAAATTCGACGGGGCCTTTAAGGTCGCGGTAGCATTATTGGTCAGTGCATCCGTCCGGATTGCAGACGGTACGGGTTCGAGTTCCGTCTGCTGCCTAGACAGCGTGGATTTTTTTCTATTAAAAAAACATTTAGATTTATTTCATAACAACCGAAACATCGACATAAAACAGGTAACCATTGCCTAGTTCAACGATGAATTTGATAAGAGAACTAGCTAAAGCCTTCTTTGTGCTAGGTACTTTGTAGGTTAAAAAAGAAATTCACAAAAATTTTTAAAAGTCGAAAAAGACTTCATGAACGGGCCAAATGAGCCTAATGCATTGTTTTAGTGGTCTAACACCATCTTCGTATTATTGCCTTTTAAATGACACCGGTTTGGGTATATATATAACCAGGTAAGCAAATGACTCTACCCCACCAGATGTTAAGTGGTGATAAATTCCAGACGCGAAGATAGCTGGTACAGTAGTTATAAACTGAACAATTACCAGAAGTGGGCGGTACCACGGAGTTAGCCATGCCGTTGAGCGCGTGCGACGCGAGCGCGGTCATGGGGCTGATGTAGCCTTGCGCCGTCGCCGCCACCATCAATGCTGCTTGTTGCTGTAAATAAATAAATAAAACTAAATAAACATCTCTAATACCACGGCTACACTGTAGAACTATCGCTAACATTTTCGGGTCAGTTACTCGGGCCAAACAATAGTCTCATTTCAGAACACGGTCAGAAAAAATGTGACTGTTGCTTGGTAAGATGCGTCGTGAAAACGACAAAAGTTCCCAATAGTGCAATAATGTGGCCGCAGCATTACACTCACACTAATTTATTCTAGTCCCAAAGTAAGCACTGTAGCTTGTTTTATGGGATACTAGGGTATCGGTTAGAAATACATAATTATCTATACTAATATTATAAAGAGGAAAGATTTGTATGTAAGTATGTTTGTAACGAATTATCTGAAAAACTACTGGACCGATTTTAAAAATTCTTTCACTATTTGAATGCTACATTATCACAGACTAATATAGGCTATAGTGTATTTACAAAAAGTTATTTTTTGAGGTTCCGTATGAAAACTTCGATAATATAACCCAAGTGTGTAAAAAATAGCCTTATATCGTGTACAATAGAGCAAAGTGATGTACTAAAGTTTTATAGAGGATACCTATATCTATCTCTACACCGAAGCAAAGCGTGGGTGGGCCACTAGTATTACATAATAACATTAGCAGTAACTTATTGATTGATGTTTATGATAAACCCTGGTTTATTTATAGAAAGACTGTTATCTAAGTGTTGTTAAGTAGGAGTCCATTCATATACAAATTAGGTGATGCTGTAGAGATCAGCCGAGCGTCATTCGCACATAGCATTTTCACCGCGTGCTTACTAGAGGTCGCTAGTATAATGATTCTTCATCTCTAGCCTATCAAGACGCTTCTGTTTGTCGCAGTTGTAGCACCTTTCTCCACTCGTGGTCATTACAATAATCATGAGCAGCTCACCTGCTCGGTGATGACCTGTGCGTAGGTGCCGTACGCGCCGAACTGGTTGAACACGAACGGGTTGAGCAGACTCATGTTGCCGGCCATCTGCTGCATTCGCCGGAGCTGCCGTTCCTTCTCCGTGTCTGCGAACTTAACCACGAGACTCGAGGACGCTCCCTGGAACAAATCAAACAGGTTCATTAGGCATTTGTACTACCAATGACAAGGTAGCGATTAAGTCTGCCTGTCTGTCCACCGGAGCGAGGTAGCGGAGTGGAGCGAGAAGGTAATGTGGAGCGAAGTTGTAGGCTGCTTTTTTCAGTATGCGGAGCTAGCCCGCTTTAGGCTTGGTTTTTTTGGCAATTATCAAACGGCTCCCGCTCCGCTTCCCCTCTCGCTTCCTCGCTTCGTTATCCCGCTCCACTTCCTGGTTTTGAATGAATGTTTAAACTATGTACTTCGCAAATTCCTGCCCACTGAAGAGAAGTGGAAATTTTATGCAATCCTATTGGTTAATATTTCTTCGTTTCGCCGCTCCACAGCCTCGCTCCGCTTCAGTGGACAGGCAGCGAAACTATCGACTCTTTGACGCGGAGTGGTATATACACTGGTTTTTAGGGTTTCTATGTTTTGTGTCCTGGGTTCGAATCTCGGTGGTTTAATAAAAACAAATGATTATGTGTATAACGAATACAATTCAGAGCAATTCTTAAGTTGAATTTGGAAGGATCAAATTTCGCGAGTATTTATGTTTTTGCTGATTTCTTAAATGTATGTTCACAATTTGCCAATATCATAAATGTACTGCTTGCATTATAATAATGAAAGTGTTATGTGAAATCTAAAAAGCCATATTGTGATGAAAACGCATGGCTCCTACTTAGACCTGTAAAGTCATTTATCATCGCGAAAATAATATGAGACAGCAGCATAATATATTATTTTGATCGTAAAATAAGATTAATGGTCTCTTGTCTATCGTGGGAACCGCGACGGATAATGGCTTCATGAAAATACGACTCGAAAATATAAGTAGGTAGTTATGCTTTTGAACAGCTGCATTCACAGAACTGTGTAAATTCGCATTCCATTCATAACTTGACTGTGTCACAAAGTGCGCCCGCAGCGCAACTAACGGGTCACACTTCCGTCTTCCGTGAATCTATTGAAGCGGCCCGCTCACAATAGGGAGGCAATACAAAAGTCGGCACTACCGGCGATACCGCAAACTACAACAAAACGGGTGCAACGCCAGCTAAGCGGCACGACTCTCTCATTCATTATGTATTGCAGGGAGCGAGCAAAAATAGCGTGTGGGGCGCAGTAGGCTCGGCGGCGCAACAGGTCGCCGCCCTCACTGCAACAAGTGCTTGGGCTCCATCCAAAAATGCATCGAGACGGGCCCGCAACTCGGCCCGCTCTTGCGGAAAACTGGCTTCCTTCCCGCAATAGTTTGGTTGTTCCGAGCGGCTTGCTAATTAACTCGAATGCCGTCCAACCGCCCGTTAAGTAGTACGGCTAATTGGCCGATTCCACGGCCCCATTGATGGCAGTCTACGCCGCCCGCGCGTGCTTCCGCATATCATTCGGACATTATTTGCAGTGCGCGCGTTTTATTCGCGAGCTCGGCTGAAGTGTTTGTCCTCAATAATATGGAACCAGTAGTACTGTCAATGTTTGAATTAAATATTACCCACCTACTCTGTTTATACCGCCATCTGTACTGTCTGCTATTTTCATAAGCGATAACATTAAATGGAATTGTATTCGATTTTTATTACGATCGTATTCCGTGGAACGAACTCGGTTATGTTGAATATTTGTTTTGGGTGGTGCTATTTTTGAAGATACATACGCGAAGAAGTCTAATGTAAGTAGAAAGAATTGTTTTTCAGTTTCTTTTAAAAGTAACTTTTTACAAAAAGAACTTTCTTAATTTTGTTCATGCTTCTTTGTTGGTGTATTTTAGTAGAATAATGGCTCAGAATTATATTTTTATCACAAGTCGTATAGATAGTACAGGAATAAGTAAGTAAATTTTTAGTAAACATTGCTAGTTAATAATAATAATATTTATTTGCCCGAAATTGTTTTCTATGATTTTCTTCCATCACTTGCAAATACAAAATTAGGAAATAAAAAAAATAAACAAAAAAAAAGCCATATAAAATTAAAAAACAAAAATTATGAAATTAAAATTAATATAAAAATTTCAATTCATTAAACATAGTGTAACCATAATTATTATTTATCACTCATATTGCCTAAATGTCACGTACTCGCGAACATTATAAAAATAATGGTCAAGCAGCCATAATGTCAAACAATTTTAAATATATGTCTAGGTAAATTTTTAATATCATTTGGCTACTAATTAAAGATTATTAAACATACAAAGTACATTTTCATATAAGAGCAAGTGCTCATAAAATGTATTTACGCAGGTTGTATGCATTGTTCGAAAGTTCAAAATTACGAGCCATACAACGGAGCGTGCGGTAAAATTCATTACGTACGCTCCCATAGATTACCGTGCGTATTTTTTACGATTTTCTTTTTATTTTGATCGAACGTCTTCGGAAGCGTTTTTAGTCTATACCTCACTTTAATACTAATAAGAAAAAGAGACGAAAGATGTAGTTCTAATTTTCACCACCCACATGGCGCCATTTCGAAAGGCGCGCCATTTTCATATTAGAAAAAAAAATGACGGGTTGCACTCCAGGAGTGCCGGCAGAAGTGAAAACTTGAATATTAACGTTGTGCATTTTTGATATTTTGGAATGGTTAGGGAATAATTTTGCACGAATCGCTTTAATTATCAGTATAAAAGTACTATCATGTATGTGGTAGAATACAATATTTATTTAATGCGCTATCGTACACAAACATGACAATTTATATTACATTAAAAAAGTATATCTCAGAAAAATCAACTTACATGAATCACGTTTAAGCACACCTAGCGACATCTATTGTAAAAAAATGTATTGTCTTCGTAATAAAGCTGCCACGTGGACGTCCTAGATATAGTCTTATTATTATAATACGATAAAATAGAATATTACTATGTTACGTCCAATATATTGAAAGTCAACAACATTTCCAATTTTATTGTGTGTTATGATGCGATCAGCCCACGTGTTTAACCTGACGCGAGTTTAACATTTTTTACCCATGCAAAAAAAGTGTACAACGCCGCTAAAGAAGTTTTCACTTCAAAAATTGCTTCATTACTTAAATTATGTATAACATTTTTTTGCAAATGTGTTGAAAAACGTTGTATAACATTCGTGCGGATTGGTATTACAAACTCGTAACTACCTACTCGTTTGTGTAGAAATAAAATGCAGATGAATATATTATGTGATGCAAATGATTTATTTTATGGAGACAGTTTATACGCATGGATTTCTTGATATAGACAAGAGGGAAACGGAAGTTGTTACAATCGTCTAAGACAAATAATTTAATGTTGCAATTACAGAAACTGGTAAATGCTAACGTATAATATTTTGATCTAGCAATTTATTTATTTTTATTTTTGTGTATATTTTAATGTTTCATCATCAGCCTATTAATGTCCCCACTGCTGGGGCACAGGCCTTCTATATGGCAGGCCTATGGATGAAATAGGGAGATTGGGCCATGACCCACCACGCGGGCCCAGTGCGGGTTGGTGGGTGCTAACGACTGCAGATGCAGCCGGGACCAACGGCTTAACGTGCCTTACGAAGCACGGGGTATAGCTCGAGATACTAAATTTTTGGTCACCCATAAAATGACCGACCACTGCGAAAGTTGCTCAACTTCAACGATCGCAGCCGAACGCGCTAACCTATGTTAACTCGCCTGTGCAAAAGGAAACAATAAGTTGTATTTCTTTAATATTGTAGCTATTGAGTTATAAGTTTACTAGCTGTCCCAGCGATCTTCGTACCGCCATAAAAAAAATTAATTAAAAAAACATTGTCCAGCGGACAAAATTGTGAATCTAAACCATTCTCAGATCCCCTTGAACACACACAAAAAATTTCATCAAAATCGGTCCAGTCGTTTAAGAGAAGTTCAGTGACATACACACTCACAGAAGAATTATATATATAAAGATGTCCAACAAAACAGGCAGATGTTCGGTTTAGGAAGCGTAATTATTAATTGTGATTTGATCTTCTTTCAGGTCAGGTGTCAACATCACAGTGAGGAAGGAAATTATGGACTTGTGTTCATTAAAAAAATACATACACGACGAATATAGAAACTTGCCTTATTAGGGTTCCGTATCTCGAAAGCATAAATGGGAACCTTTTTAAGATCACTTTGGTGTCCATCTGTTTGTCTGTCTGTCGAGACCATTCATCTTAGGAGTGCGTGGAGGAATCGAGTTGACATTCAACCACTCAGATCTTCCCTTAAGACTGTGAAAAATTAAACTTCTGTGTTCAAGTCAGTCGTTTATTTTTATCTGAAGTCGGATAATAATAACAATTTCAGAGATGCGGCAACGCAATGAGTCTACGATAAGCTGTTACGTTGCTTCGTAGCAACGTAGCTGTGCTACGGTGCTGCTACGCTTGCTACGACTGCGGTATATTTAGCTGCCTTTACTGTACCCCTAGCACGAACCAATATCGAATTCGTATCGTTTGCGAGTCCGAAATGTCATTGTCAAATGTGTACTTTTAGTTCTCGTTACGTATTTTGTGCCGCTCCTGTTCAAGTTTCCATACAAAATTTGACATTGACATTTCGGTTTGCAAACTATTCGAATTCGATAATGGTTCATGCTAGGGGTACTACACTGCACAAATTATTTCATAACGTGAACCTTGTTATAAATAGTAAATTGCTGCAGCGGCCAGCAAAAGGGACATTGATGGACGAACGTAAGTGCATCAATGTCTAGTTGCGGCCAAGGCTTGTATAGTATTGTAATAATATAATGCGCGGAGTTAAAAGCTAAGCGGAACTTTTTATTTGAAAGTGATTTTTTTTCATTCGTTGTTTTTTGATAAACAGCTATTACTAACTATTTGCAGTTTACTATGTTACTTATTTGGCCATTAATCCACGATAGATATGGAATTTCATACAAATTTTGCCGGCAGCTGGACGCATGTATTTGGCTCGTACAGAAATTTCGATTTCCCTCGAAGAAGGTCGTCAAAACCATTCTC